TACCTTTATTCAGGTTTATTGTTTTACTAAATAGAATCTCAGTTTGTGTTCTTATCAACAGAGAATGGTGATTTAATGTCAAAGTGAAAACAAAAGCACCAATTTAATACTTAAAACCACTGATTTCAAGTGAATAAGGAGACAGGAGGGAGGAGTTTGTGGATGAATCTGTGGTTCTGCAGTTTTCAAGTTCTCTGATGGATTGAGGTCAAGACTCTGACTCGGTCACTTCAGGACAAGATAGAGTCCCAAAACGTGGAAGTGAGTCGGCATCTTTTCACTTCCTGTTCCCTCTTCTTAAAGTTGTTTTTATATATTTGTGCTTACATGCCTGTAATAAGTTCTGTGTTTCACACAAGCCGAATAGATCTTTTTAATGTTTTGTTCTACCTAATAAAATACGTCAGTAAATACTTAAACGTGTCTTAAAGGAGCCGGCTAAACGTCATCATGTGTTCTCATCCTCGTGTAAACTCAGTCATGTGACCGTTGTGGAGTTCCTTTACGGCCTCACGTTAGCGTTTTACTTCTGCTGATTGCATTCACACGTCAAAAATCATAAAAGTGGTGTTCATTTGTGATGAGATTATAATCCTCGTCCCTGCAGCTCTATAATGTTTGAAGCTTCTTCCTTTGAGGCGTCTTTTTGACGGCTGCAGGTCGTCCTCTGGGCTTTAAACTGTATCTGGTTGTTTCACTCTGAGCCTGTAACTCCAGTGACATGGTCTAAAGGTTTTCTTCCTCTTGGCTTCAGTCTCCCACATGTCTTCTGGCAAACACTCGCTCAGATGTTCTACGAGCAAAGCTGCACCTGGTGAGTCTCCCAGGTAACAGTAGTTGTTTGAGTGGTTTCCTAAATAACTACAGAGAAACAATAACAACACCTCTGCTGATTCAAGAGTCTGTAAATCAACCTGGGCTCTAAAATGTTGATTTACAGACTCACCAATTTCATGATTGCATCAGAGTTGAGAGTGCAGCTTTGTTCTTCAGGCGTCTGATGTTTGAAGTCAAGACCAGCTAAACTGAGACCAAGACCAGAGTTTATCGAGACCGAGACGAGACTTGGAGAGGTCCAGACCAGTGTGAGTCCCACGCTGCACGCGGAGGCAATCACAGTTATGATGCTAACAGATAAACCGGACGATGCACAGGGACGTTTAGAGATATCCTCACCGCTGTGGTCTTGATTTAAAAACCCAGAGTCGTCTTTATCTGAGACAGAGACGAGATCTTCTACAACACCGGTACGCAGAGTGTTTTCTATCTTCAGCCGTTAAAACCCTGCAGCTCCGTCCGTTATGCTCATTATTGAGCATAACGGACATCTTGTGTACTAGTATCTATCGTTGGTCAACGCGCATTTTGTTTAACTGCTGCACAAGCCTGTGGATCTGTGAAAACCGCTTCTATCCGGCACCAACCGGTCCGGCAAAGTATTGTTCCAGTAGTTGGAGGCAATCGGTTATTTAGTTTTATATTAAGTTAAACAAACTTGAGCTCGACATGAAAGGAGAGAAATCCACCTTTTACAGATTGTCTGAAACTCTTCAGGTGATCAGCTGTTATTGTCAACACTTTTGTTAAAAACATCTTGTGTGTTTTCTGATGAATTGTATTTTCATGTCCACATTTGACTGACTGTCGTAGTTGTACATAAACTCATGATGTCTCATGTTGTAGTAATGATGTGCTTTTTTTCTAGCTGGCTTGAGATGTTTAAATACTTTGCAAAGCATCCAATAAACAAAGAAACACTGTCTGTTGCACAATTTCCTGTTTCTCCCAAACAAGTCCTGTTCTATAATAATCAAAGCGTTGTTCTCTGAATATCAAACATGCTCGTTTATTTTCTAAGTGAGACGTTTCAGTCCAGAGATTTGCTCCCACACTGATCCTCCCATGTGTGCTCAGCATTTGTGGTTGCTGTGTTTTGAGGTTTGGATCTCTCCATTATGGGATGTTGCACCATAACGTTTGGTGTCCCTCACACTGTATCTCGAGGGGCTCCGCCGCCCCCTACTTTGAATTCACCCACTGTTAAATATTTACCCAAACGGCGCTTTGGACGCAAAATAAAATGTATTAAAAACATGCACCAAATTACACAACTCCTCCTCGGCATCACGTCTGTCTGCCCGACGAAACCGAAAGGATGAAGGCGAGTGATTGATTGCTGAAAATTTTCCTTCGCCTGTGAGTTTGGTGAAATCCAAAGCGCGGCGTCAAGCGATCCATGACGGGGACGGAAACCGGAGTCTACCCGCGGGGACTTTGGTGATGTTGGAAACCGCGGAGCCCCACATCGGAAGTCTACCCGCCGTCGCGGTCACCTATCCGCCCGAGGAAGTGTATAGTGTTTGCAGACAATGAGCGCGTGGGATCAGGAGGAGGCTAATTCCTTTTGGGTGTTGGTGCTGCTGTTGGAGATGACTTTGCTCGTCTGAGGATCCTGCAGCATACCATGATAAATGGTGAGCGCGCGGGGGGTTTTGAACATCTGGTGCGTATTTACGCAACAGGCGGGCTGATGCGGAGACTTACTGAAAGTTGCGCCACTGACTCTGAAGTCTGTGCGCACCGCCGTACTTTGAGTTGGGTCTGTAATCACTTCATGTGGTGCAATTCAAAATAAAAGCTGGAAGCCTGCGGGTCCGAGCCGGAGCCAAATGATTCAGTTTGATCTCGTTGATCCAGCTTTTCTTTGCATGATGTGTTCTAACAGCTCTCTGTTTCTCTTAGTGTCTGACCGGTGCTCTACTCCGTAGTGTCCTGGTGGTTCTCCTGCTGACCGACGCTTGTGGTAAACGTAGATGTAACTATAAAGAGATCCTGGGCTCCTACAGACAGGTCATCTTGGTTGAGCTGCATAATCTGGTATGAGGCCTTTGATCGTGTGTGCATTTAATAAAGACTGTTTATTTATTTGATTTATTTTGTCCATTGTTGTTTTTAGGAATTTTTGCGACATACTGTACTATGGCTTTTAAATTACTTTTTTACATACTGAGTTTTTTATGATTTTTTTCAATATACTTTATAACTTATGATTATTTACGACTTTTGTATGACTTTGTGACATGCTATAGTATGTCTTTTAAAGTACTTTTATACTATTAGTTTGTATGACTATTTTTGATATTTTGTACTCTGACTATTCTATGAATTTTTTTGACATACTATACTATGACTTATTTCGAACTTGCTATACTATGGCTTTTAAATTACTTCTTTCTTTTTTACTTACTATACTATGAGTTTATTGAAGTCCGTTGCAGCTGTGATCAAACATGTGGGATCAATGCTTGAATACACTGATAAGCTGTTTCATTGTTTGCAACTGTCTTCACTGCACCAGTAAAGCTGCTGTTTAGAATAAATCCATATTTGCTTCTTTTTTTTTGCAGAACTTGACTGGCTCATCCAATACCCCCAAAGTGAGAGACCCCTGTCCCTCAGCAAAGGTAAATGGCACTGTAGTGTGTGCACTTTCAGCACCATGGACAGAGTGATAATGGACTCATAACAGGTTAATGTGTCCTGATAAACTGTCACATAGTCTCCCCGTGTGGCTGCCTCGAGGAGATTATGAAGTGTAATGCTGTTTTCCATTTCATTCACCACGGCAGGCACGTCGCATCCTGGTGTCCATCTATGGTATGACTCAGCAGATGAGGTGTCAGAGCAGCGGCAAGCGGATGTCTGACCTGGAGAAGCCTCTGGCGAGCATGGGGCAGCTCATCGCTCACAACTGCAGCCCGGATTACCTGGTGAGGACATCCCACTCCCCACCGCCTCGCTCATACTTAAAATATGAAACGCCATATTGGATAAAAGGCAATATTTTGATGCATAACAGATCTGTTTTTATTTGTTCTTTCAGGGGAAGAAAGTCTCTTGTTCAGCGGTCCAGAAGACACGAGGGAAGAAGAGAAAGAGGATCCGGTTAATCAACGTTATCAAGACCCTGATCACCTGTTGGCAGAAACTTCAGAGTGTCTCTGTGCTCTCAAAGTAGAACATGTTTTCCTGCTACTTTCAAGTGAAAGTGAAAGTAGTTAACCACAGATAAGCTAAAGATATCCACAATGCATTCAAATACTCTCAGAATATGCACATTTTCCAAAGGTCTCTCTTGTTGTAACAATTGTTTTTTTGTCTTTGTAAAACCAGACAGTCAGCAAACCCATGCATATGCAATATAATAAAATCAACTTTTTTAAATGTCTGACTAAGTCCCGGTACTGTCATATCATGATAAAGATTTAAGTAAGTATATGAAGTATATAACTATTATGACAAAATATTATAGAATTGTAGAAATAATAATAATAATGAATAGAATAAATATAACAATAATGGTACAAATAATTAATAATTGTTGATGTCATAATTAACATTTTATTATTCTATTTATTATTATTATTGATGGTGGTATAGGTGTTTTTTCTACAAGATTTTGTATAGTACTTTAAAAATAGTTATGAACATAATCAGTGTACAACATCGTCAGACAGCTTACAATATTACATCATTACAAAAAGAATAAAGTAAAAAATAAAAGTTAAAGAAACATAACAGTAATAAATAATACTGGACCAATTAAATAGAACAAACATTTGTCACACTTCATAACCTAAAACAAAGCAAATCATTTTAATGAAATAATTAAAATAAAAAACGAGTTATATTTATTTAATATTCTAATCAGGGGAATCAAATCTTTTGGAGTGAGACGAGTAAACAGACCTCCTCGTCTTTAATATTATATATTAGTTTAATATTAAATTATTAGTATATATTATCTTATCACTACGGAAACGGAACACTTCTAATGGGGAACTGTTTCCGCCCGGAGCAGCAGACACGCTGCACAGCGCGGACCAAACAACTTCCTAACGACACGAAACTGTCAACAACCAGCCACGCGAGGTATCGTTGCGGTAAAACGAAACACGTTTAAATCAAATGTACGTTTAAAACTTTGTTTAAATGTTTTATTTCCGGATAAACTGCTTCCGTTCAAAACATTTTTAAAAAGCAGTATCACTCCGCGGTAACGGTCGGACGTAGTTTTAGTGACACCCGTCGAGGAAATCCTCCTGAATGTTCTAGGAACTATAAACTCTTGAAAGCGACGTTGAGCTCGTGTTTGTTTTAAATAATTAGGTGTAAGTCGAGCAGCAGACATGGCCAACAGTGTGGACATGGACCCGGATGTGGCTCTGAGGCTGTTTGAGGAGGGAGCCACGCTGGTGCTGCTGGGAGTTCCTCAGGGCACCGAGGTGGGCATCGACTGCAAGAGCTGGCAGGTGGGTCCCCGCTTCAAGGGGGTGAAGATGATCCCCCCGGGCCTGCACTTCCTCCACCACTGCTCCGTCAACTCCCCCAACTGTGGAGGAGAAGTGGGCCCAAAGATGGGCCTCTTCCTCACCCTGAAACCCAGAGACATCCTGCTGGCCACCTGGGACCCCAAAGAGGAGGACCTGGACTTCTCCGCCTCCCAGAGCGAGGAGGAGGTGAGCCGGATCAGGGCGACCCTGCGAGACCTGGATCCCTTCCTTGGGCCGTATCCGTACGAGGTGATGAGGAAGTGGGTGTCGCTCACCGACCGGCTGAGCGAGGAGGTGGCGACCGGCCTGCAGCCCCTCTCGGGTCGGATCTGTGCCTTCAGCGACGTCATCCCCGAGGTGCAGCTCCGACACACCAAAGACCGGGCGGAGCAGCCGAGGAACGACGCGGCGTGTCAGAGCATGAAGGAGGGGCTGGACAGACTCCCCCGGATGAAGCCTAGGGAGGGCACGGAGATGCGCCTCTCCGTCATCCCAGAGAAGATGTACCCTCCGGGGGCCACGCCGGCCGAGATCACCCAGTGCAGCCTGGACCAGAGCTACGCCCTGGAGACGGTGCTGCAGAAGCACCACGAGCTGCAGCCTCTCAACCTGCTCGGTATGAGTTAGAATCAGACGCTCTTAACATTAGAACATTGATTACATTTTATACATTAAATAAACAACGTTATGTCTCCCCTCCGCTCAGGTGAGCTGCAGTTCTCCTTCGTGTGCTTCCTGATAGGAAACGTCTACGAGGCCTTCGAGCACTGGAAGAGCCTCCTGGCTCTGCTCTGCCGGTCGGAGGAGGCGATGAGGAAGCGTAAGGATCTCTACCTCGGGCTCATCGCCGTGCTCTACCACCAGCTCGGAGAGATACCGCCTGACTTCTTCGTGGACATCGTGTCTCAGAGCAACTTCCTCACCTCCACGCTGCAGGTAGAGAGAAGAAGAAGAAGGAGGTCTTCACTTCACTGGCTCTCTGAGTACAAGTGAAGGAAACAAACCGTGTGTCAGGAGAAGCTTCATCAGGAGGCTTGGAGGAGGGAGAGAGAGAGAGAGAGAGAGGGAGAGGGAGAGGGAGGGAAGGAAGGAAGGAGAGAGAGAAAAGGGAGAGTGGGATAGATGGAGGGAGGAAAGGAGAGAGAGAAAAGGGAGGGAGGGAGATGGAGAGAGAGAGAGACACAGAGAGGGAGAGAGAAGAAGAGACAAAAGGGAGAGAGAAGAAGAGACAAAAGGGAGAGAGAGGGAGATGGAAGAAGAGAGACAAAAGGGAGGGAGAGGGAGAGAGAAGAAGAGAGACAAAAGGGAGAGAGAGAGAGGGAGAGAAACAGTTCTCCAGAGGATTTAGAGAGAGCTGGAAAATATTGCACCACATTGCAGTTGGTTTTGGGAAAAATTTATGTAGAATGTCAAAGCATTGCCTAAATTCTTCTTCTTCTTCTTCTTCTTCTTCTTCTTCTTCAGGATGTTCACATTAACACCATCACATGGTTTTGACTCTTTGCTTTCTCTCTCAGGACTTCTTCCAGTTCGCCGGTGGCTCCGGTGTGGACGTCACTCTGCGGAAGCGAGCGGAGAAGTTCAAAGCTCACCTCACCAAGAAGTTCCGCTGGGACTTTGAGGCCGACCTGGACGAGTGTGAGCCGGTGGTGGTGGAGCTACCCGACGGCGTCACGGTGGACTGAGACCCCCCCGAGCCACGGGTTCGATGCCGGAACCGAAACGGACTGAAATGATACGGACACTGAAGGTGAGCGGTGAGGCGAGAACAGGAGAAACACCGTCTGGTATATGGACGCACTCAACAACACGGTGTGGGTCAATGGCGCCCTCTGGTGGTGGGTTCATATAAGTTGCCAGGTGACTGTTTTAGAACCACAGTTGCAACACATTTATTGCCAAAATGTACTGCATAGATGGAGACACTTCACCTTTTATAAGAGTGATTCTAGAATATAGTATAGTGTGACTAAAGGGTCGACCTCGTATTGTTGAATAATAAATGATGCTTTTTGTTGATAAAAAGGTTTTGTTGTCGTCTTGGTTTGTGATGGTGAACTGTTCAAACTTCTAGAACACATCAGAGGTATTTTCTCTAGAACTTTTCTAAAGGTTGACTTTGTCGATTATTCGTTGGATCCACATTCTCTTGAATAAAAACACTTTTAATACTTAAACGTTATTGAGATATTCATATGCAATCCTGAAAACCGTCATGGAAAAATGTGTTTAATCTAAAGACATAACTTGTGTGATTGATAATAACAATAATATTAACAAAAGGTAGCACACAATGCAGATACACACACATTTCCACATGAATATATATATATATATTTACAAACGCGTGAATAAATCTGAACGAGGTCTGAAAACTACAAGTAGCCGACAGATCGGTTCTAACAGGAAGTAGCTGTTTCTTTGACTTCCTGTTTATTCAACAGCTGCTGCTGCTCTCGTCTACTTTCCAGACAAACGAGCTTAATAATTCATGAGAAAATGAAAATGTCTAGAAAAGAGAATAACATAATGTTTTAGTCTCTAAACCTGTCAGGAGTCACCTCTCTCTCTCTCTCCTCCACTAGATGGCGGTCACGGCCTTTTTGTTTAATTATTACAACTTCATGTGGATCCTTTGATGGTAAACGCTCAAATGTGAGTTCACACACAATGAAGAGCTGTTTGGTGGTTTTTTGGGGTTCTGGTTTGAAGTTCTTCACAACAGCGTTAAAATCATCTTAAAGCTTCTCTGATCCCAACAAAGACCATGTGTGAGGAGCAAAGACTACAACTGGATCCACTGGATGGTGTGTGTGTGTGTGTGTGTGTGTGTGTGTGTGTGTGTGTGTGTG